GACTGGTGGGGGGTTCAAAAATACAAGAAAATAAAAGCTTTCAGTTGGGTCCTGTTTGCAAGAGTGATAGGCAGAGGCTAGGAAGTTTCTCACTTTACCACAGATCCACCCATTTTGTGCTAGGAATTCAGCGCACACAGTGTATGTTGTTAGGCTCCCTAGTATAGTCCACATAGTAGACCATAATGGTTCTCCCTTCTTTCACCAATCATTCAGTGGATTTCAATGAAGATGAATTTATATTTGCCTAGACAACTGTTGGGGCTCTGAGCCCTTTGGATGTCTGGGCTGGAAAGATGGCCTTGTTTCACTGTTCGATGGGAACTGGTTGCTGTGAAGATTGATTAGTTTCTATTGGTATAGCATGCTGTATTTAGTTTACTATGGTAAGTTTTATAGCATTTAATCATGCTATAAAACACCTGCAGTTCTCTATCCCATATCACTCAAAAGCTTTTGCACTTCTCCCACCCATTCCAGTCAGAAGCATGCACACATACAGAAATTAGGTCCTTTTTTTAAATTTAGGTGTGTGATGTTGAGGAGAGGAGGTTTACTTTTTCCCCATTCTTACAACTTACAACCACCTTGTAATACCTTCTTTGTGAACAAGGACGTATAATGGGAAAATGCTGTCTTAACTAAAGTGTCATTTGCAGTCATTTACAGTTGTACTTTAATATTATTATCATCATCATTACCTATGTTTCTTCCATCCAAGTAAACACAATAAACTTTTGCACCCTTGAGGCTATACATCTGCTGTTACCAAAAATTAAATCTTTCTGCTTTGAAGAGAGTGGGGGGAACTGAGAGAGAGGAGAAAATTCTCCACTGTGAATTTGACTGAAATCTCAAAAATCAATGATTCTCTACTGTTTTTATTACTATTATTCGCACTCAGTTTAGTAGCACTAATCTTAACTCCTCACTGTATTTACTTTCATCTACCCACTAATTCTACCTGTGCACTTGATAATCCCTTATAGATTCCCACATTTCTCTTCCCTACACCTTCCTTTGGGTACTACTGTTCTTATAATGTGTTGCTGGTTGCTTCTTCTTTCTCCAAAATTAAAACGTGTCTCAAAGGTTTTGCTTCTTGGGAATGGGCTAGTCCAGTGTGGGCCATTTTTGGCATGTGTGCCACAAACTAGCTCCACTCCCCCATCCTCTGCCACCATCCTCCCTGAGTGCCTATTTAATCCCTTTCCCTTGCCCAATCTACCAGTTTGCTTTCTGCTTCCTGTCTTATCTGCTGCTCTACTTTCTGCCCCCTGGCCCAACTCCCACTGAGATGCCTGCTCCCTTCACATGCCCCATCTGCCATGTACCGCAGAGGCTGACCAGGCCACTTGGGGTACACATGCCTTAGGTTGCCCAGCTCTGAACCAGTTTTTCATTTTTAGCTTTTCCTTTTAGTGAAATTAGGGCAAATGGAGATTATATTCCTCAGTAGACAGGGACAAAAATTACTTTGGATGATGTATCATGTTTGTTGGGTTTTTTGGTACCAAAAGAATGGTTCTACCCATCCTTGTACAACCGTCTTTTCCATGTATAATTACTCATCTATGCCTTTATGATTGCATTGCATCCACCCTATTCAAAATAAATGTGTAAATATCAGTAGCCTTTTCTTAACTCCCTATACTTGATCACCATTTTTCTAAGGGTGTCTTTCATGTGCATCATTATCTTCATGGAAGGTACTTTTTTACTTGAATCTCCTTGTTTCTAAATTGTATTTCTGTCCTTAAATCCTCCAGCTTGAAAGATGGAGTTGATGTCTTTTCAAACAAAAAATATTTCCACTTCTTGCATGGGTGGTCACCATACAGCTATTCTTGCACCTAACTTATGCTCCTCTCTTTCTGTGACCTGCTTGGGTTTTTTCTAGCAATCTTTGAAAGCCTGCTTGGCATGAGGAAATTGGCACAGGATTTCAGTCCAGTTATCTGTGTTCAGGGCCCTTCTTTTGTATGTTTGTGTGGCCCAAGGCAGGGTCTCTTCATGCTCTCAGCTTTATTTCTGTAAAATAGAGATAAAATAATTGCTTCATTATGTTGCATGGATCCTCTGAGGTTAATGTATATAGAAACAACATTTTCAACACAAAAAGTCAAGGTCATAATTCCTCTCAATGCTAGGGGCCCATAAGGCTAGTGTAGCCTTAATAGTTTCTGTAACCAATGGCATACAAAAGAACAATGTAGCCTTTGATTCCCAAGACTGAATGACCAAGTATGCATTTGCAGCCAAGTCAACTCACACCTCTGGAATACTAACATGACACCTTAACAGCTCTACCACTGTGCAGTATGAATGTATCAAGTGCAAAATATTAATCCTTACTAGGATTTGGGTCATTTTATTTGTTTTTCAGATTCCCAAAATCCATCTAAGTTGTTGCACACATGTTTCCAGGATTTTTAGCAACAGTTCACACTGGGGTCCTCTGCATTATATAAAAATGTTTAAAATCTTTTCTTATGGAACATTCTATTATAAAGAGCTGAACTGTCCAGTTACTGTAGGTTGCCACAGAAACTATTTCAGCTCACAGAAATCAAGAGAAATCCTCTGAAAGATTTAACGTAGTGGAATACACAGTGCAGTTTAGATATAATAGAACTCATTTTGGATTTTAAAGTTCCTATTCCCAAGAAATGGATTGTTAACTTGGCAGTCATTGCAGTGCCAGATTTGTTCATAGTCTGAAGAGAGGAGGAGTGAGATAGCAAGTTGAAAGCTCTGGAGAGCTGTAGAAGTCTAACATTCTGGCACAATTTAAAACTAGTTTTCTACTAGTTGCACTTTACAGAAGCAGTCTGGGATTTTGTTCTATATAAATTGCAGTCACAATGCCAAGATAGATGGCTAAAAACCTTTAGCACATGTGAGTATGTTGCTAATGAGAGTACCAGTAGATTACTCTGGTGGGTTGATGAGGTTAGCAGCTTGGGAAAAGAACACCTTTCCTTGATCCTATGTTCTTTGTATCTCTGCAGCGTGGCATAAATTGTATCCTATCTTATTAATGAGCTCCTTGCAGAATCCTCTGTAATAAATTGCTTTGTGTGTCTTTGTCACACCCAATGTATCTGCGCTCACTTTTCTGGACTTTTAATGATTGATTTCAATTGGTTATGGTGTACTCTCAGTATCCGAGTAAAAATTGTCCCTTAACACCCTTCCTTTAACTTTAACCCATAACACCCCTACCAAGGTGAAGCAGATATAGACAGAAATTGGATGCAGAAGAAATGGCAAGAGTAAGACAAAACAAAACAAATGAGCAAAGAGGATGTCATAGAATTGATGCAACGGAAAGGCAAAGAGTTCACAGAGACAATAGAAGACACGCTGAAAGAGTAGGTAACAACAGATTCACTGAAGATGAGAATGAGGAATATAGTTGTGGATTGATGAACATGGTGTGCCAATTTTGTAACTCTTAAACTTGCCAGCTGAAAGACCATCAGATGGTCAATTCTGGAGTTGTTGTCATAAAGGTAGAATGATTCTGCCTCCAAGAAGACTGTTTCCAGAGTATTTGCAGGATTTGATGATGAATCAAAACAATGAGCATTACCAGAACTTTAAAACACACATTTGATCATATAACAGTGCATTGTCTGTTGACCAAAGATTATTGTGACAATATGTATGTTTCACAAACAGTGTAGAGGATTGAATCCAAACACACTGTTCATGAAAAATCATTAATGTCTGAAGAAATATCCAAAGGAGTTTACAAGAGGAGACACTTGGAAATGTTGATGGATATCCATTGTATAGACCAGGCAGAATATCTCAAGCAGGTAATGACACGGTGGATAACAGAAATGTGGTGCCCTATAAAAAGTAACCTATTTTTGCCAGTCATTTTTTATGGGTGTTTACATTGCATCTCTTCTGCGACTTTCTCTTTGGTCATTTATTTCATTTTGTCTCACTCTTGCCTTTCTTTTTGCATTCAATTGCAGTCTATTCTCCACTTCACCTTGGTAAGGGTGTTATGAGTTTAAGTTAAAGTAAGGGTGTTAAGGGAGGAACAATTTTTGCTTAGATACTGAGAGTACACCATAACTAATTGAAATCAATCCATGAAAGTCCAGAAAAGTGAGAGCACGTGGTTTTTTGAGCGTGACAGACAGAATCACAAAGACACAAATGAAGCAAATTATTATAGAGGATGAGGTTTAGGAATTTCTAATATTGTCAAATGATCAATTCCTAGGTAGTATTAGCTGAGACAATTTACAAGTGATAGGATCAGTAGTCTAAAGGAGTTGCTGGCCTTTGCCAAGATTTGTAGATCTAGCTACATAGGAGCTACTAGTGAATCAGTCACCGTGGTCTCTAAGTGTCAGGATGGATAAGAAGCCTTTATTTCCCTGTATAAAACTGTAGTAGGTTATAATGTGAAGTGACATATCTAATAAAAGTGCACTTACTCCTAACTGGTAAAATTATGGGAATGTATGTGGTAGCCATCAACCTGCCAATGTCAGACATATACAGCGAATTAGTGGTGAGGATTACACTGTGTTCCAACTTTTTTTTTTAATGCAGTCAAGTAAAAATGTAATAAATGCAGCCTCTCACCCTGAAGGATCTTATGAAAAATTGCTTCTTCTGTCTCTCCTGAATTGACCAGTGGGGCTAAATGCAACCAGTCAAATAACTAGGCAAAACAGCAGGAGGCTCCAAGTTTGTGACCTCCATCACTGGGGAGTAGCCTTGGCTGGGTGTTGAAGTTTAGATTACCAGGATGAAAACCTATCACAATATTTGAGGAGACTTAAAAGCTGGAAAAATCATTGTAGCCAACTTCAGATGGTTTGTGGTTGTGAAGTTTTTGCTGACACCACTGCAGCTTCATAGATGCTGTTGTAATATGAATAAAGGCCAATAAAGAGAGCTTTTGCATTTCAAATTACATATTATACTGCTAAAGTATGAACCCTCAAAAGCAAGAAAACTGTGTGGTTACTATACATTCTGTTTGTCAGAGTATCAAGATTGTCTGGTAGTTAGTTGTACTACTGGATTTTAATAAGAAAAGTTCACAGCTGGAGATGGCAGAAATAAAATGGCAAATTATATCCCTTCTATTGTGTATATTTTATTTAATTTTCACACTGAAGAATTCCAAAGTACTTTATGGCTAAATATACATAGATATTAATTTGCAGACTCATCAACTCTGAACTGAATGGAGCAACTCTTGAAAAACACACAGAACAATTGTATTACAGTTCAGGGCAGCAAATTGCAAAAGTTGTAGTGGCTTCGGCTAGTTTTATTCCAGGAGCTAAACTGGGGACCTCATCTTAGGGAAAAGTCCAATAAAATCTTTATACTAATGGTGAGGTCTTGAGTTTTCATTCTTATCTGAAATATGAGCAACATAGCATCATGTTCTCTGTCCTCATACTGGACTCAAAATGAAGAATGCCATCTTCTGAATGTCCTAAACTAAGAATACTTTTTAAACATATCGTATGGCATAATTAAAGTGCCAGAACAGTATATAAATGCACTATTAATGACTGATTTAATTATACATGTTATATATGCTTTATAAAGTTTTGCAAGTATGTCTAGAAGATCCTCTAAAGGCTGTCACACAACTTCAAAGGTACTTCAGAATCACGCTTCATGTCATGAGTGATTCTCTAGCAGATGGCATTGTGTGCCATATCAAATCACGTAATGCACATGTTCCGTTCAAAAACCTGCTAAATATGTAGATATTGTGTACTAGGAGTGTGTGAAATGGGCCATATTCAATTCAGATTCAGATCCGGCCTGAATCGGTGGACAGTGATTCAATTCGTTGATTCAGCCAAATCTGAAGATTCGATGCCGATTCAGAGATCAGCAATTTGGCCATGGACACAGCTTTAAATGTTTTTTCTAAATACCTCAAGGTACCAGACATGGCTTGTGAATGCTGAGATGCTGGGGTGGATGGAGTGTCCCACAGGAGTGCACAGGGGACAGGCCCCCACATGCTTGGCAGGCAAACCCAGTAGTGGACCAGAAGTACTTTCAGGTGTACCGCCGAGCACACAGAGGACCCCCCACTCACACTCCCCTGGCTTGGCAATCAGCTTTGGTGGGACCCCAGGTACCCCCCCCAGACCAGGAGGCACCAGTTGCCAAGCTGGGAAGTGGAGAGAGGGTCCCCTGCACGCTCTGAGGTGAACCCAGAAGTGGACCGGAAGTGCTTCTGGTCCACTTCTGGGTCCACCACAGAGCGTGCTGGGGACCACCCCCGCCCACTACGCCCCCATGGGATGCGCCATCTGCCCCACCATCTCAGAGTTCATGAGCTGCCTGGTACCTTGAGGTATGTAGAAAAAGCATTTAAAGCTGTGTTTATTAGGGCTGTGTGAAATTTCACTGGCTGTTTTGTTTCGACACTGTTTCAACTCTTTTTGAGCTCAAAACAGTGAAATTGAAATGAAACAAAGGCCTTGAAAACAACCTCAAAACAAAATGAGGCTGGTCAGAACATTTCAGAAGTTTCAAAACGTTTCCAGTTTCGAAGCAATCAGCAGCCAGGTGGTGGGAGACAGGAGAGAACCAGGGCTGTGCTCCTGGCAGCTCTGCAGCCCCATGTGGCTCAGCTGGGCAGGGAGCGCAGCCCTGGCTTTCCCCGCCTCCCATGGCTGGGCTGCCTCCCATGGCTGGGAAGCCGATCGCAGTGTAGTGGAAGGGAACTGAGCTCGATCTCTCAGTTCCCCTCACCAGTGCTATGACCAGGCTGGGGAAGGCAACTCAGTCCAGTTGAGCTGAGTTCCTCTCCCCAGTGTTACGATCGGGGTGGAGAAAGGAACTCGGCCCAGCTGAGCTGAGTTCCCCTTCCCAGCACTGCAGTCGTAGCCCAAACATAGTGCTGGGGAGGGGAACTCAGGTCAGCTTGGCTCAGTTCCCTTCCCCGGCCCAATCGATCTCAGCGCTGGGGAGGGGAACTGAGTGATCGGGCTCAATTCTCTTCCCCAGTTCCCCAGTCCCATGCAGCAGCACCCAGTTTCCCTCCCTCATCTGGCAGGCAGATTGGGGGCCCGCAACCCTGGGAGGACTGGAACAATCCCCGCAGCCTTCCTGGGGTTGTGGTCCTCTGATCTGTCTGCCAAATGAGAGAGGCTGTTTTGAGCTTCCCCATTATAGCCTGTGGGTGAAATGTTGAAACAGCGTCACTGTTTCAATTAAACAAAATGGAACGGTGGTTTCAAATTGAAACGAAACCTTGTTTCATTGAAACTTCGAAAAACAAGTCGAAATGGAGTGGTGCCATTTCGTACAGCCCTATAGTCTATGTCCGAATCATCGAATTTCTCCAAATCAATTCAGAGCATTTTGATTTGCTTTGGAGATGTTAAAGGGTCTCCTGATTCAATTCAGATTCAGAGATTCAGCTGCCGAATTGGGCCAAATCTCCACCAAAATGAATCAGCAACAGAAGCTTTGCACAGCCCTATTATGCACATTTATTTTAAGGCATGCAAGGGTTTTGAATTTCTTATGCAATATAATAAGGCATCTTGAACAAAAAGTCACCATTGTGCCATGGTAGCATGGAAGATGTTATAGGGGAGAATACTATACTTCATTCCTGACCTTCAAAACATTGTCAGCTTCTCCTGTAGCGGGTTTCATATGAACTATCTCCAGGTATCAGACATTTCATACAAGTAAGACAGGCTAGGGATGAGTTTAAGTGAGAGCCTTCATTTAAAGAGACTATTTGATTTGCATGGACCAGAAATGATTCCACAACAAATCCTGGGTTTTAAGCACCCAGAAATTGTGAAGTGTGTTGTCTGGCTGATTTGGGCTTCATACCAGATTTTGTGTATCTAATCCATTAAGGTGGAAATTGAAAGTGTATGTGTCTTTTGGTATTTTTTGGAAGCCAGTGCCTCCTTTTAATGTACTTGTCATTGCCTCATGTTTTCCTGTCATCAGCTGATGAGAACAAAACAGATTCTTAGGGCAGTACACCCTGGATGATTTTAGAACCAAATCCTCATTGCGTTGAAGAGCATTACCCAAGCCAGAGTTGGGGAGGGAGGGTTTATATCCTCTACATTCATATATTTAAATTAGGCAAATATATTCATGGTGACTTTTTTGCAGGTACAGACCTTTTAAAGCACATTGCAAACTCACACATTGACAGAAAAATAACCTATGGTATGCCCTATTGCCTCAGTAAAAGTTGATTTGCTCAGACTCTCTCTCTACAAACCTCTTAGTGAATAGCAATTTGGGGCAATTTTTCCTGAAGATCAGCAAACTCAAGCTTTTGCCAAAGAAATCAGCAAAACAAACCTCAAGGGTCTTGTGGTGCAATATTGCTTTGTTCTCAATCCTGCATGTCCTTTCTCTACGAGTGTTCAAATTTAGAATCTACAAGCATGAAGATCCAGCTGGTGGGGCACAGGATTACGTTCTGATCTCAATTATGCCAGTACAGATTTAAGTAACTCTAGTCAGTAGAGTGATTTCAGCAGTCACTAAATAAATATAGCCGTGGTATAACAGCAGTCAGCATTTGTCTCAGTCTCTAGGGTAGACAAGATTCAACCTCGCTTGGGCTTTTTAGGTCATACTCAGTATTTTGAGCTGTATCTGGAAGGGTATTCATACCATAAGTACTGAAGCATATGGAACACAGGTGTGCAATGGGCTCCAATATGCTCCTCCATCTAAATAAGTAGTCACATTCTGAAAGATCCTTAGTTGTTGAAAGGGAGAAAGAACCTTGAAGTCAGAGCTTGACAAGTAAATGAAAAAAGAAATGTTTTGCAAACCCCAAGTGTATAAATCTTTTTGATACTTAAGTGCCTATGTGATACGCTTTGGTTGAGATAAAAATCACGTCTTTTGCAAAAGTCAGAGCAGAACTTGTCCATGGCTCAAAGTAGACAATGTGGAGGTGTGTTTTTTGGGTTGGGTTAATGATTGTAGCAAAGTGAAATTGGCAGTGCATGTTTACAAAATCCAGAACAATGGTATAGTTTATTTTCCAATTTCAGAAAGGAAAAATGTTACTACAATACTATTATGGAGATATTTCACTGCAAACCTTCTGCAGTTCAATGCTTCAGTGACTAAGAACTGCTGTTAAACTACATGGGATGAAAATTCCAATTAACTCTCCTGCTTCTGGGCATAAGATGACAGTCATCTGAAGAAAAAATTTCCCCTGTCTGGTGTAACATTGTACAACTAGTCAGACAAAAAGACTTATAACTTTCTCTGAAATATTTGGTAATAACTAATATTGGCACAATTTCAGGCTTGATCAACAATTGGTCTGTTGGAGTTTGATTATATGGGTTTCCTCCTTTTTCACCCATGTATGGGTTTTTAATCCATTTGATTATATGGCTTTTTGATTTTATGGGGTTTTTTAACTGGGTTTTAAAACAATCATTAAAACCTGTTTATTATGAGATTTTTTTCAATACACTTCCCCTTTATTTTTTTCCTTTCTCCTTCCAACTTTAAGGAGCTTCCACCCAGAATTCCAATGCAGTGGAGCCAGAAAAGCAAGTTGACAGCACAGTGAAAATGGCTGGAGTTATAGCTGGGCTTCTGATGTTTGTTATTATCCTCTTGGGAGCAATGCTCACTATCAAAAGAAGGTAAGTCTCTGCTTTGCTTCATTTTTGACCTACTGGTTAAGATAACTTTCACTTCACTCAATTTTTTACCTTGGTTAAATAAAATACTGCAGTTGTGTTCATGGAGGAGGAAGAAGACCACTGTTGTGGTCCCTACCTCAAAGAATTTGAACTATAAATAGAAGACAATTGATGGCTGAAAGATAGAGATGGAAAAGAACAGGAGACAGTATGGGTCAGCATAATAGGCAATGATCCTGGCCCACCAAGTCTAGCAGTTTTCAAGGTTTTTTTGCATAACCATCACAGAGAAGGAGGGTTCTAACAGATCATCATGAAGTAGCATTGCAAATATATACATGAAGTTCTTCCCAAACATGGTGGGGGCAGCATGGGAGAAAATTTCAGGTATTTTGTGCAAGCATTGAGAAGCTGGACAAGAGATACAAATAAATGAAATGCAAAATGATAAGGGATTGGGTGAGAGCTTTAACTGTGTGGATGGATAAGGAAGGCCATATTTTAAGGGTGTTATGCAAAAAGAATCAGCAAGCATCTAGTTACAGTCAGAACGTATGGAGACGTATGAGTCAAAGATGTCACCTAAGCTACAGGCTTGGGTGACAGGTAGGATGGTACTGTAACCCCCAGTGATCAAGAGAAGAGTAGCGAAGTGATTGGGGCGGAGGAAATGTATCTGTGTGTTTTAGCTGTGTTGACCGTGACCTGATAACTAGACATCCACAAGGAGATACTGAAGAGAGAAATCAAGGTTTTAGCTTAGACGATCTATAACTAGGAACCTAAGCTGCAGTGGAAGCATGCTACTCAGTGGCTCCTTTAGCTTTGCTTTGTTGATGCACCCTCTCCCCCCCACCCCAGTAAGGAGAAAGAGACCCGGGAAATTATTTTGTGGGACCCCAGCAGAAAGGTGGAGATGGGGAGATGAGACTCATCCTATTAAGCTCTTAAAGCAGAGTTCTTAGGTTAGCTATGAAAATGTAGATGACCACATGAATGAAAGACTTCTAGTTAGAACGTTCTTTTTCCCAGGTGGGGGTGCACGGGAACACTAGGGCATAGAACATGGACGTAGAACTTCAGGCTTTGTCTACCGTTTCTCAGCGTCATAACATAACTTTGCACAAGTCACTTCTCCCACTGGGTAAAAAGCAGGGTAGGGGGATGGGTAACATTGCCTCAGAGAGGTGTTGAGGCTGTTTGTAAAGCACTTTCAGATCCTGAAATGAATGACACTAAATAGGCACAAATGGTATTATTAAAACAGGATTTGAGCTGTTTTCCAGTGTAGAATTTCTTTCTGTTTTGCACATTTCTTAAACTTGCCTTTATTTCACAACTGTCCTTTTTTGTGCACTTGGTAAGAGGAGAGATGTGATGTAGATGCATGCAGTATTCCCATGCAATTATCAAATACATGGCTATGAAATGCAAAAGAGATCTCAGACAAAAGTCATCTACATTTGTCTTCTTTTTTTTAGATAAAAAGATGCTAGAATGGCTTGTTCCAGGAGGATTATTAATTCTCCAACTTGCGTGGGCATGCATACAAATGGCCCTTTCTCTAAAGCATGGGTGTCAAAGATCTGCCCTGCAGAGCCCTATCATCCAGACCCACAGACAGCATGCGGGGTGCACCAGATGACCCTGTGTGCCACACAGTCCCACTTAAGCCATTCTGGTACTGCACCGTATGCAGCACAAATTCCAGCATACATTGGCTCCATGCCAGATCCAGTGGCCTATATCCTGGAACGGCTGTTGCATGCAATACAACCGTGGAACAGCAGAGCAGCCACTGCCTGCAGTGCAGCCCTGCAGCCCCTGACTGGCCACTGCATGTAGCATAGCTCCCGCAACTCTGGAGCTACTGCCATGTGTGTCCCAGATTATGAGTGGCTGGAGCAGGACACATGCTGGATCCAGCAGGTGGGGCCTGTCTGTGGGTTTGATCAGGCCCTGATCCGGATCTGATCAATGGGCCAGATGAGTTTGACAACCCTGCTCTAAAGCATCTGTTCAGCTGGACAGAGGGTTGGGTTTTGCTGTGGATAGAAGTTTTTCTGAGAGTTCTAGTTTATGCTTGACTGAAACATTATGAAGCCATTGCTGGTGCACATCGAAGCAAAGTTTTCCAGTAGTTCATTTGTATGGCTGTATGCTTTCTTTGTGAACCATCGACATTCAGCCTTCAAAATAGAACAAAGCTTGCATCTGGCTTCCCTTTCATCATTTTAAAAGCCCTGTTTTTACTATAGAGAAAGAGAGATGATAGTAATAGTTTAGTACCAGGGAGATAGTTTGTGTTTATTTTTACCAGTCAATTTTCTGATGCTAAACCTAAGTTTCAATATTATTATGGCACGATGAAATCTGAGCTGTCTTACCCATCACAGTATTAATTAGACAGGACACAATCCTATTCAACCCGCTAGGCATTGAAGTAGCATTTAGACATCCAAATATCTAAGTGAAATCCAGCTTAAGTCCCTGAAAAGTTGTTGTCACAAAGGTGAGAGGGTCTTCCTCCTCCTTGCTGCATTTTATGATTTAGTATTAAGGGTAAATTGAAGTAAAAGTGTTAATATTTTTCCAGGGTATTAAGCAAACTGGATTAGGATTCCACTTTGACAGATGCTGGTTAGATGTCTAACAAGTGAAATAAGATCTAACTGGTTGTACTTACATAAGTAAGTAGTTGCATACATGAATAACAAATAGTCATGTGAGATGGGTTTGCAGGATCAAGCACATATTCCTAGAAATTAATAAACACTTACTTCTAGCTCTCTTGCCACTGCTCCAAATCCATGTTACGAAATATTTTAGATAAGGGCACTGCTGACTATGCCTGCTAAAATACATGTTCATCTACTATATTCATTTGCATCTCAAATAAATTTATATTTTGATTTTCAGTTAATTATATAGACAATGAATACTCTCAGCTCCCATTGACTTGAATGGATATTGTGGATGTTCTGCGTTTTACAGCTACTGTTCTTGAATTCTAATTGTACACAAATATTTGAAGTTTTGTGGGGAAAAATGGAATTGTGTGTGTGTTGTAGTCATGTTTATTGCACCCTTGTTTAATATTCCACCTAAATGCTACATCTATTTCCAGCATCCAGGAGCTTTCAAGTCATATGCAGAAAACATGAGATGTCTTTAGTGAAAAATAGAAAAAAAATTCATGAAAAGAAATTGAGCTGGATCTTATTCTAGGTCTTATTTTAGTTTTTTATTCCATTCCCCATCTCTTCTGAGTCCCACATGTGCCCTTAAATGGTGTTTTTATTATCAGATTCAAAGGCAAGGTTTTAAGGACATGGTTGATATAAAGCAATCATGATATATAGAATAATGCCACACCTTCCCCAGGCCTTTGAGTATTGACCACATTTTTCATTACTCTTGCCCCATGTTATAGTATAGTTATAACTCAAATATCTGTGAAGAAAAGAAACAATAACTTTCTGATTGTGATCATAAGCCCATTATTGGTGATAATTTTCCTGTGACTTAGAATGTAAAATAGTCAGTTGCTAGAGTCAGAGATTTTTTGAGAAAGTAATTTGCTTTAAATTGTCAGGACATACACTTTTCTGTAAATGTTAATGCTCTACTTTGGACCTGAAACCACAAACTGGCAAAGTGTATATGAGCACTTATTTTGTTAGTGTGTACACACATAAATGCTTCAATCATAGTCCCTGGAGATCATAAAAGCATAGGACTCATCTTAGTGTATGGGTATCTGTAATACATATTGAAGTTCAGGTCCCAGTTTTTTCCTGTTGTAGACTGTGTATTAATTTCAGTATTTCTAGTACATGCTGCAGAATTCCTGTGTATAGGTTTACATAGAAATTAAATAGATTAAATAGAGTCTCCCATTCTTAATCATTTAGTCTCTTTGTTTTAGTCCAGTTTGGGGGTCTTACTGGAATATATTTATTTGCTAATAGTCCCTTTTCTCTTCCATCAAATTTCTCTGTAAAACCCATTTCTCTGACATGAATTATGCCCATGCTTTTTGTTCTGTACATCTTAAAAAAACACCAGGGCAGGATTCATGCTTACTGCTTAACTAGCCTGTTGCTCTTTCTCAATCTCCCAGTAACACAGTTTGAAAGTAAGATCACAGAGGATCCAAATGAACAGAATTACAGGTAAGTAATTTGCTTCTCTGAAGATGCTGAGTCAGATCTTCATAATTCAGTTTGACTCCACTAATCTCATTGAGTGAAATGGAGCAGTGGCATAACGAGGTCAGGGTGAGCAGTAGGGGTGTGCGAAATGGGCCGTACTCAGTTTGGATTTGGATTCGGCCCGAATCAGGGACAGTGATTCAGTTAGTTGATTCGGATCACTGTCCCTGATTCAGCTCATCTGAATCTGAAGATTTGATGCTGATTTGGAGAATCAGCGATTCAGCCATAGATACAGCTTTAAATGTTTTGTCTACATACCTCAAGGTACTAGGAGGCTTGTGAATATTGTGATGCTGGGGCAGATGCAGTGTTTCACAGGAGTATGGGGGTGGGAGGTGGGGCTCTGCATGCTCGGCAGCAAACCTTGAAGTGGACTAGAAGTACTTCCGGTCCACTTCTGGGTCCACCACCGAGCACGTGGCCAGGTGGGACCCCGGGTGCCTCCCCAGACCCAGGAGGCACCAGTCACTGAGCTGAATGCTTCTGGTCCACTTCCAGGTCTGCTGCCAAGCATGCTGGGGAGCACACCCCTCCCCTCTTCCCCCCCCCCCACTCCTGTGGGACAATGCATCCACCCCAGCATTGCAGCATTCACAAGCCACATGGTACCTTGAGATATGTAGAAAAAACATTTAAAGTTGTGTCTGTCTGAATCATTGCATCTTTCCAAATCTCACTGAATCAATTTGGAGGGTTCCAATTTGATTCAGAGAAATTAATGGGTTTCCTGATTCAATTCAGATTCAGAGATTCAGCCACTGAATCGAGCCAAATCTCCACCAA